AGGAAGGGAGAGGAAGAAAGAGATAGTAACATCAGTGATGATAGAGAATCATTGATCTGCTGCCTTCTGCACACCTCCTAACTGGGGATTGAGCTTGCAACCCAGGCATGTGCCCTGACCAGGAATTGAATCATGACATCCAGTTCATAAGTGCAATGCTCAACACTGGCCAGGCTAGACTTTGCTTTTTAAATGTGGGATAGACATAAAGATGGTCTTTTTGTTTAAAAAATTTAGCCCAGCCGACACCTGTTTGGCTCAGTGGATAGATCATTGGCCTGCTGACTGAAAGGTCCCGGGTTCAATTCCGGTCAAGGGCATGTACCTTGGTTGCAGGCACATCCCCAGTAGGGGGTGTGCAAGAGGCAGCTGGTCGATGATTCTCTCTCATCGATGTTTCTAACTCTCTATCCCTCTCTCTTCCTCTCTGTGAAAAATCAATAAAATATATTTAAAAAATAAAAATAAATAAATAAATAAAAAAAAGATTTAGCCCATTTCTCCTCTTTCAAACCTCATCTCTGGACTAGGTTTTCTGCTTGCCAGAGTAACTTACACTTCATACTCAATTTTTGGTCTTTAATAGTTTACTTTCACTAACACTCTTCATTTTTTAAAATATTAAATTGTTTTTTAAAAATATATTTTTATTTATTCAGAGAGGAAGGGAGAGGGAGAGATAGAAACAATGATGAATCATTGATCAACTGCCTCCTGCACGCCCCCTACTGGGGATCAAGTCCCCAATCGAGCATGTGTCCTAACCAGGAATTGAATCGTGAACTCCTGGTTTATAAGTCGATACTCAACCAGTGAGGCACACCGGCTGGGCAATATTAAATTGTTTTAAAAGTTTTAATGATATGGTCTATGAGAAAGCTATCTTTTATATCTCTGATGAAATTGTTAAGAAAAATATATTTCTAGTATTCCTCACATATGAAAAAATAAACAATTATTATCCTTTGACAATAATATGTCAACACCTTCCAACTGTGGTAGTTATATTCACATGGGCCCACAAACAATTACTTACCAAAGTACTTACAGTTTCTGAAAGGGTCAGATATTTAAAAAAATTATATGGATAATAATAGGTAACATTTATTAAGTACTGTAATTTAATCATCCTTATAACCTTACAAAATAGGTACTATTATTAATAATGAGGAAACTGAAGCATAGTCAAAAGTCATTAAGTATTAAATGATGGAATTGAGATTCAAACCCTCAGAGCTTCTGCCCTAGGCTTTCTTTTATTTATTTTTTGGTAGGGAATGAAAGGTGGTATATAACTTTTTAATTTTTCAAAGTGCTTTTGTATTTACTTTATTAGACATAAAGTAGAGAATTTAGGTTATTTAGATAATTAGAAGAGTGCCTCTTGCCTCAGTTATTCAGACTCTTGAGACATATTTCCTGTTAAATTAGTGTAAATTTAGTTAATTGCTGCATATTATCTTGCATGTATAGAAATAAACCATAAAACTAAGAAAAATGTGGTATATATACATATGTACACACATAGTTTTAGATAGAGCTTACTGTTAGGTCTGATCAAATAATTAAGTCAACATCCCCTCCCCTGGGACTGACCTTTATACCACTTCACAATCGACATTCCCTTTTGCTTAGAACATATTCCTCTTGCTAAGACCACATTCCATTTGCTAAGACCTTTATCTTTCCCCTCAGGACTTGCCCAGAGAAAAAAAAGTCTGTCTAGAATCCTTTAAAACCTCTGACTCCCCATTCCTGGGTACTGGGATCATTTTGGGGCTCAACCTATCTGGTTTTCCAGATGAGCTCATAAATTCATAATTCTTTACTCCTTTTGCATCGAGTTCCTCCTCAGGCGACCTTAACACTTACAATTTATTTTATCTTATTATTTCACACACTTGATTTATTCTTTTATAATTTTAATAAAATATTTCAAGCTACAGAAAGACAGAATAATGTTGGGAGCACTTCTCATGTTGTTGGTTTGTCAAATCTTGATCCTATATTTACTGCAGATAACTTTTTTTTTTTAGTTTTTTTTAATAGTTAATACTTTTATATGTTTAAAAAGAGTACAGAGCTAAGTCCCCATCTCACCCTGTCCCATATGCCCAGTTCCCATCCGACAGGTGTTATGTATTTATTTCCCCCCCAGTTTTGTGTGCCAGTGCGCACATGTACCTAGAAACAAATAGGAATATATTTGGACTCACTTAAAAAACAAACACATTAAGGGTAACAAATATTAGACATTCTTCTTGTTGTCTACACTCCTACCACGAACTCTTCATCGCCTCTTTCATCTCAGCTCATTATTCAATAAGCGATGCATAAAACTCCATGTTCAAGATACTGTTAACTATGGAGAATCGGTAGTTTATCACCACACTGTTTGCCTCTACCCTTTCTACTTCACCCACGATCCGGTTTTCTGAGAAACCGAGACCTGTTTCCAAAGTCTAAAATGCCTCGAGCGTAGCAAAGGCGAAGTTTACGCAAACAGGGAGGTTTAACCTCTCTGAGGAATTCGGGAAGGAGGAAGCTGTGGGGAGGGGGGCAGTGGGATGGGCGGGACCCGGGCAGGGCGGGGTGGGATGTGGGTGGGCGGGACCCGGGGGGCGGGGTGGGATGTGGGTGGGCGGGACCCGGGGGCGGGGTGAGACGTGGTGGGCGGGACCTGGGTGGGCGGGTCTTTCAGCCACGTTCGCGCCGCGCCGCGCCGCGCCGCGCGCAGATTTGGCGCCAAACGCCGAAGGCTCTTTTCGCGGCGGCGGTACCTTAGAGTCTCGCGAGAAGCGCGGTTTGCTGGCCGCCCCGCTCCGGGTGCTGCGTCCGCGTGAGGTGAGAGCGGGCTGGCGGGAGTGGAGTCCCTCAGGGGACAAGCGGCCGCGGGGTCCGGGCGGAAGGGTCGGGTGCGGGGAGCAGCACGCAGGGAGTGAGGAGGTGGATTACAGGGCTGAGGTGGACTACAGAGCAAGAGGGGCCTGACCCGGCGCGACCTGTGCGGCGAGGAGACCGGCGGGACAGGGGTGTGCACATTTCCTTTATGTCTGGGGGCCGCCTCTCACTAGACCTAGCCTTTTAGCGGGAGGGGACGAGCATCAGAAACAACTTTACTTGGCCAGCTTCCGTCCACGGGCCTCTAAACAGGGAAGGCATCGTGACTGGAATGAATGAAGTGAGAGACGAGACGGGGCTGGGGTGGGGTGGAGGGGGAATGGAGGGGAGGGGAAATGTGTGTTTTCAGGGATGGATAGCAAAGAGGGAAAAACTTATCTTGCTAGAGGGGCTTGTGTTTTGATAACTCGGAAAAAGTTGGCCATTGGACACCTAAAGGGTTAGGGAACGAACTGTATAGTTTTTAAAAAGTATATATTTTATTGATTTTTTTTACGGAGAGGAAGGGAGAGGGATAGAGTTAGAAACATCAATGAAAGAGACATCAATCAGCTGCCTCCTGCACACCCCCCACTGAGGATGTGCCCGCAACCAAGGTAACTGCCCTTGACCGGAATCGAACCTGGGACCTTTGAGTCCGCAGGCCGATGCTCTATCCACTGAGCCAAACCGGTTTCGGCAAACTGTATAGTTTGAACATTACATTTCTTGGTTAGGTTCCCTCTGGGAATTTGAGGACTGGAGGAGGAGTTAAGAGAATTTCATCCATGTCTAAAAAGGAGACAGTGAAGAGACAATGCAAAAGTTATCAATAAGTGAAAGGTATAAAAATATAAAACTAAATTTAAAAAAAGAAACGAAATATCAGTTTAATGACCAGCCCCACCCCATGCTTGGCCAGTTCCTTATGTCTGGCTTGCCACACTTCATATAGTTTGTGTCCCGTCATCAACCTCAGACCTCCGGGTCTGCCTAGAAGGTGTGAACCCCATTTCTTCCTAGAGGGCTTAACTACGATGGGGCTAAATATACTTATTGCAGCTACTTCAGAGGTTATGGTCTCTGACAGCCTTTCTTCCAATTTTGAAAATCTTTGGTTCTTTGACCCTTACTTGTAGATACAGTGGGTCATCAACAAGAGTTTATTATATTTTGTTTTTATATATTACTAGAGACCTAATGCATGAAATTTGTGCAAGAGTAGGCCTTCCTTCCCCTGACTGACTTCTGGCACCTGTAACCTGGGCTTCCCTCACAGCCCCCTGCTTTGGTCTAATTAGCATATTATTATTATAGATGGTCATGGAAATTTAGAATGGGAGAGATTTAGAGATCATCTAGCTCCAGTAGTTTTACAGATTTGGGGGAAGCTGTGGAATTCTTTTCTTCATTCCCTCATTCAGCAAATATATATTGAGCATCTGCTGTATACCAGCTTTGGGGATGCAGTGGTGAAGCACAAAGAAACCTATCTGTCTTGCCCTTTTAGAGCTACAGTCTGGTATGAAAGACAACTTTAATAAAATAATCACACAAATAGAACCTAGTATTGAAACAGGGTTAGTGCTATGGAACTTGTACCTGATACTTTGAATGCTTATTATAGGAGGATTTAGTTTAGGGAAATTGGGACAGGCTTTTTTGTGGAGGTGATACCCTCTTTGCCCGAAAATAAGACAGTGTCTTATATTAATTTTTTCTCCCAAAGTTGCGCTAGGTCTTATTTTCAGGGGATGTTTTATCTTTCCATGCCCTAAGTCTTATTTTCAGAGGATGTCTTATTTTCAGGGAAACACGGTAGTAGAGATGTGAAAGAGATTAGGACTCAAGGAAGGCCTTAAAGATAGGAAATGTCCTTTGCAAAAGTCTAGAGGCCTGCCCTAGCTGGTTTGGCTCATTGAATAGAGTGTCAGCCTGTGAACTGAAGAGTCCCAGGTTCGATTCCATCAAGGGCACATGCCCAGGTTGCAGGCTTGGTCCCCAGTAGAGGGTGTGCAGGAGGCAGCCGATCAATGATTCTCATCATTGATGTTTCTATCCCTCTCTCCCTTTCCCTCTCTGAAATCAATAAATATATATTAAAAAAAAAAAAAAAAAGTCTGGAGTCCTGAGGGATATGGCTGTTTAAAAGAACTGAGAGAAAAGAGCATGAAGAGTTGGTGTAAAGTTGGAGAAATAGGAAGGTGCCAAAACATGCAGAGCCTGAGTTTTATCTTTATCCTAAGAAAGAAGAAAGCCATTGAAATATTTAAGCCACGTGATAAAGTGATCAGCTTTATATTTCCATAGGTTAAACTTAGCTGTAATATGGAGAATGGATTGGAAAAGTCAAAATTGGATAGGAGGAATGGAGTAATCCAAGTAGAAATGTTATGATGTGATTGTGGTGATAGGGAGAAATGGACAATTGAAGAGATATTTAGGAGGTAAAATGGATAGGATATGTATGATAGCGGAAGGAAGTGTCAGGGGTGACTTGTAATTTTCTGACTTGCCTAGCTGGATAGATGTTATGCAGTGAACTGGGAAAATTAGAAATTCACTTTTGTACATGATGAGTTACAGGTACCACTGAGGAATTTAAGAGCTGTAAAATGAAAAATAGGGATCTGGAGCTCAGATTTGATGCCTGGGATGGAAATAAAGAAATAGTAAGTTATCTATAATGCCATGTGTACAAGTGAGTTAAGAGGGCCTAGGATGGAGTTATGGATACTTATTGACTAGGATAGAGAAAGATGCATCTTCAAAGAGGATCTAGGAGGAGTGTCCAGAAAGGGAGAAAAGAGGTGAGTACTATGTTTCAAAAGTCAAAAACACTTGTGCAAAAAAGGAACTGATCAAAAGTTTCAGATGTTGCTGAGACGTTGAGTAAGATAGTATAAAAACATTCTTTCAAGTTATCAACCTGAGGATTATTTCCTTTTCTTCAAAGGAACCTTACCTAGAAGATTAATATATAAACAGATTTTTGTTATAAGCTGTTCTGGTTGAAGTGGCAGTTGAGGTACCTGTCTTCTGCATATTTCACACTATTTGGATCATAGTTTGAAACCCTCTGAAAAGTCCAGATCATTTTATGATAGATGAAACTCAACAATTGAGTTAAAATGATTTGTTCAAAAATATTAGTGTTATTAGTGTTTAGAACTCGGTTCTTCTGATTTCTAACTCAGTTCTTTTTTCTGAAATTATCATTTCCACTTTTCATCATGTCTGAGTTTGAAATATGGTGTATTTGGCTGCAGGTGGATCCTAACTGTAATAGGAAGACTGGTTGGACAAATAAACATGTTTACTTCCCCCCTTTCCCCCCCAGAGGAAAAGATGCTGGAACCACAGGAGAATGGTTTGATGGACCTACCAGATTATGAGCATGAAGAAGATGAAACTTTCCCTCCTTTCCCACCTCCAGCTTCTCCAGAGAGAGATGATGAAGGAGCTGAACCTGATGATGGTATGTATGGAGTTCTAAAAAAAAATGTCTTATGTTCATTTATCAGCTTAGAAATGACACATTTTATTAGTGAGGCTTAAATTACTTAAGTAATATTAAGTTTTGGTATATTTCACCAGAGTCAGGAAGAGGAGCACCTGTTCCTGTACCTCCAAGGAGAACAGTTAAAAGGAATATACCAAAGCTTGATGCTCAGAGGTATATGTACTATTATTCCCTTAAACATTTGTATTTTTTTTTTAAAAATACATATATTTTATTGATTTTCTTATAAAGAGGAAGGGAGAGGGATAGAGAGTTAGAAACATTGATAAGAAAGAAACATTGATCAGCTGCCTCTTGCACACCTCCTACTGGGAATGTGCCTGCAACCAAGGTACATGCCCTTGACCAGATTTGAACTTGGGACCCTTCAGTCAGCAGGCCGACACTCTATCCACTGAGCCAAACCAGTTAGGGCTTACCTTTTTTTTTTTTTTTTTTTTTTTTTTTTTTTTTTTTTTTAGTACAGTATCTTTTTTCTTCCTTATGTTATAATCTATTGGTTGGGATGATTTGAAAATCAGATAGTTATAAAGATACTAGAGGCCCGGTGCACAAAATTCGTGCAGGGGCGGGGTGTCTCTTAGCCCAGCCTGCACCCTCTCCAATCTGGGACCCCTCGAAGGATGCCTGACTGCCCGTTTAGCCACGATCCAGGTAGGATGGGGCCTAAACGGGCAGTCGGACATCTCTCACGATCCAGGACTGCTGGCTCCCAACTGCTCGCCTGCCTGCCTTCCTGATTGCCCCTAACCACTTCTGCCTGCCAGCCTGATCACTCCCTAACCTCTGCCCTGCCAGCCTGATTGGTGCCTAATTGCTCCCCTGCCAGACTGTTTGCCCTTAACTGTCCTCCCCTGCAGGCCTGGTCACCCTTAACTGTCCTCCCCTGTAGGCCAGGTTACTCCCTCCCCCCAACTGCTGTCCCCTGCATGCTTGAGTCCCTCTAAACTTCCCTTCCCTGCAGGCCCGGTCACCCCCAACTTCCCTTGTCTGCCAGCCTGGTCCCTTCCATCTGCCCTCCCCTGCAGGCTTGATTGCCCCCAATTGCCCTTCCTTGCAGGCCTGGTCCCTCCCAGCTGTCCTCCCCTGCTGACCTGATCACCCACAACTGCCCTCCTTTGCAGACCTGGTCCCTCCCAACTGCCCTTCCCTGCTGGCCAACTTGTGGCAGCCATCTTATGTTTGGGAATGATGGTCAATTTGCATATTATCTTTTTACTAGGTAGGATTAGGTAGGATAGAGGCCTGGTGCACGGGTGGGGGCCGGCTGGTTTGCCTTGAAGTGTGTCCCAGATCAGGGCAGGGTTTCTTTGGGGCATGGGTCGGCCTGGGTGAGGGGCCTGTGGTGGTTTGCAGGCTGGTCATGCGCCCCCCCCCCCAACCCAAGTGGAGGCACTGGTATCTGGGATTTATTTATCTTCTATAATTGAAACTTTGTATCCTTGAGCGGAGCCAAGCCTCCTGCTTGCTCTGTGTCTGCAGCCATTTTTGTTGGGATTTATTTCTCTTCTATAATTGAAATTTTGTAGCCTAGAGTGGAGGCCTGGGCCTGCCAGGGCAAGTGGAAAGCTTGGCTTCCTCCATTGCCGAGGGCAACCCAAGCCTCCAGCTCTTTCGGTGGCTGCAGCCATCTTGGTTTGGTTAATTTGTATATTCGCTCCTGGTTGGCTGGTGGGTGTGGCTTGTGGGTGTAGCAGAGGTACGGTCAATTTGCATATTACTCTTACTAGATAGTATTAGAGGCCTGGTGCATGAAATTCGTGCACTGGGCGGGGTGGGGGGAAGGAAGGGCCCAGGACACCTCGCTTCTTATTGCCCACCTGTTTGCTGCTCCTTACTGCTCGGCTTGCTTCTCCTTAGTGCTGCCACAAAGGTGGGAAAAGCACCTGGCTGCTGGCTGAGATGTGCTCCCCCTGTGGCAGCCCACTGACCACCAGGGGCAGCTCCTGCATTGAGCATCTTAACCCCCCCCCCCCCCCCCGTGATCAGTGTGCATCATAGCGACTAGTTGTTTTGGTCGTTTTGCGGTAACAGTCACTTAGGCTTTTATTATATATCTTTTCTTCTTACGGTCTTGATTTGGCCTTGATAGTTATAGAAAATTTGGAATTTAAAAACATATTTCTATTCACAGATTGATTTCAGAGAGAGGGCTTCCAGCATTAAGACATGTGTTTGATAAGACAAAATTTAAAGGTAAAGGTCATGAGGTAAGAAATGTCTGGTTTTTATTTTAGATCTTTGTTTTTTAAAATATAGTTATCCCTCAGTACCTGTGGTGGATTGGTTCCAGGATCTCTGGATGCTGGAATCCACAGATGCTCCTCAAGTCCCTTATATAAAATTTCATATGGAATTGCATATATCGTACTTTAAATTATCTCTAGGTTACTTATAATGCCTAACAGAATGTAAATGTTAAGTAAATAGTTGTCTTATTTCATTGTTTAGACAAGAAAAAGTATCTGTACATGTTCAATACAGATGCAGCAACCATCATAGGCCTAAGTACATAGCACATGTCAGCAACAGCGTAACATTTGTTTTCCCTGAATATTTTCAATTCACAGTTGGTGGAATCCATGTATGCAGAACCCATTTATATTATAGGGTTGACTGACTCTATAAAACTGGGTCTGTTATCATGTTGTCAGGAATCTTAAAATGTTTCACGGATTTAATCACTCATCATTGTATCTTTTGAGAAACTATGATGTAGAAAGGGAACTGTTAGAAGAATCAGAAAACATGTCTTGGTTTTGCCACCGTAGGACTTCAGTAAAATCATATATGAGTCAGTAAGCCTTACTTTGTACTTTATAATTTTGAGGAATAGCTTAAAACCATTCTTTGAAGTAGACAAAGTAAATTTTATTCCTCAAAATTTACTTTGTCTATTTCAGAGAGTGGTTTTAAGCTTTATGAGAGCAAGGACTTTACCTTTTTGATCACTGAGGTGTTCCTAAGACACGGCACCATGCCTGGTTTCTAATAGGCATCAGTCAAGTTTTGTTGGAAAATGGAGACATTTAAGAACTGTCTCCCTGGCCAAGTGGCTCAGGAGTTAGAGCATTGGCCCGCACACTGAAGGGCCATGGGTTTAATTCTTGGCAAGGGCACATGTATAGGTTGTAGGTTCAATCCTCTGGCCACACAAGGCAACCAATTGATGTTTCTCTCTCCCTCTTTCTCCCTCCTTTTATTATCTCTAAAAATCAATGGAAAAAATACCTTCAGTGAGGATAACAACAAAAGGTTTTGTATTTCATTTAATTTGAAAAATTTTAATGTTACATTGAAATTTCAAACATAGGTATTCTGGTCTGAGAATGTTTAAACTGTTCTTGCTGGTCTTCAGGACTTTGCTCTTGAGATTTCTGAATGTATTTTCACAATGCTGAATTCTCAATGCTTTCTTTTCTATATGATTTAGGGGACCAACCACTTGTTTAGTTATTCCTAAAAGATATCTTGATATATTTTAGTAAAGCTTATTTTTAGCGTTACTTTACTATCCTGCAAAACCACATGTGATTTTAACTTGTATTAAACTTAAAAATATATATATTTTTATTGATTTCAGAGAGGAAGGAAGAGGGAGAGAGAGAGATAGAAATATCCATGATGAGAGAGAATCATTAATTGGCTGCCTCCTGCAAGTCTCCCACTGGGGAATCAAGCCCACAACCCGGGCATGTGCCCTTGACTGGAATCGAACCTGGGACTTTTCAATTCCCAGGCAGACGCTCTATCCACTGAGCCAAAACAGCTAGGGCCTCTGATTAAAAAAAAATTTGTATCCAGTGCTCTTTTAGACTGCAATCCTCTAAGCCCTTAATAAATATTTTTCTTTTTAGAGTTTCTTCACCTTATAAATGTAAAATGACACCAGTGACTTTGGCATTACTATTCAATTCTAAAATCTGCTGACAAGGTCAGTTCTGAGAAAGAGTTTTCTATTTAGCATTTTTTTTTTTACATGCCAGGCTGAAGACTTGAAGACACTAATCAGACACATGGAGCATTGGGCACATAGGCTATTCCCTAAACTGCAGTTTGAAGATTTTATTGACAGAGTTGAATACCTGGGAAATAAAAAGGAAGTTCAGGTATGTATTGAGATTATTACTATGAGTTTCATTGACAGTATTAATAGTATGAGGTAAGATTTAGTTAAGGCTGAGTAGCTGTTTGGGGTCTTAATTTTTAAATCTGTCTTGGTAGAGAGAAGGAAAATTAGTTATTTAAAGAACATCTTTTTTGAATCTCAGAATGGAAAAATGACCATTTTCCTCCAAATGTTATTAATAAAAATGTAAAAATGTCTATTTTCAGACCTGTTTAAAACGAATTCGACTTGATCTCCCTATTTTACATGAAGATTTTATTAGCAATAATGGTAAGAATAAAGGCTTGTCTACTTTATAACAATTTTTCTTTTAGAAATGGGTTTTGTTGGGTGGTCAGTTTTATAGGCCTGGGCTCTTAGTCTATGTTGAGTATATAATTACAGTAAATATTAATGAGTTTAAATGCTTTGGTAGATTTAGAATGTTGTGTATATTTGTTTCTTTAAAGGAATGGCTGCAATACTATTAAGAGATGTAAAAATGTATTTAGCCATAGAACATGAGCTTTTTAAGAAATCTGATGGTGATCCACTGATCCTTTGTAGTGATTATTAGTAAAAATATATGACAAAATACATGTACATCATTAAAAAAAGTGGCTCTTGGAAATTAGGCAGAATCATTTGATGATGAAATAGTTTATATTTCACTTAAGAGTGCAGATCCTGGCCTAGCTGGTGTGGTTTGGTGGTTGAGCGTTGACCTATGAGCCAGGAGGTCGTAGTTTGATTCCTAGTCCGAAAACATGCCCAGGTTGCAAGAGGCAGCAGATCAATGATTGATGTTTCTGTCCCTCTCTCCCTCTTCTTTTCTCTCTCTGAAATCAATAAAAACAAAAAAAGAGTACAGATCCTGGGTATAGGACTTGAGTAAGACGTATGTGACTGTTCCTGGTATTGATTGCATTGTTGGCTGTACAGTGCAACCATAGGTAGTCACACACATCAAAACATGGTTCCTGCCGACAGAGTCTGTATAGTTATCAGATTTTCTGTGCGATGGCTCCATACATGTTTGTTTGCTTTTTAATCTTTTAATATATGTGGTGTAAAATATAGGCTCATTATAGAATTCCCCAAAGTTATTTATAAATTACTTTTAAAAGTGAAAGATTGTGGTTCTGGATGATGTCCGTTTTGTCTTTTAATTGTAGTTTTGAAGTGGTTGTGCAAGGCAGCAAGTTCAGGTGTTTACCTATGCCGCCATCTTGATTTCTCCCAATGTATATATATTTTTATTATTATTTTATTAAATTATTATATGTGTACATATTTTACCATTGACCACCCCCCCAATATATTTTTAAATTAGTGTTTTCATTTGACTTAAAATGCCTCTTTAAAGTGATTTACAAATATTCCTTTTACTTGTTTGAATCAAATAATGTTTGTAACATTTTCATGCCTCACCAATTGTTTCCTCTGGTCTGTACCTTGTCACTTTAAACTGGTTTTAAATTAATAGCTATATAAGCTCTTTTTCTAGCTAGTTTATTACTAGAGATATACTCACTGTTTGTTTTTTCCTACTGCAGATGAAGTAGGGGAAAATAATGACCATGATGTAACTGCTACTGAATTAGATCCATTTTTGACAAACTCATCTGAAAATGTGACGTTTGCTTCTGAATCAAGTAGAAGCCTAACTGAAGAGCAGCAACAAAGAATTCAGAGAAATAAACAGCTGGCCTTGGAAAGAAGACAGGCAAAGCTACTGAGTAATAGTCAGTCCTTAGAAAATGGTAAATGTTATGCTGGTTTTTATGTGTTACCATTAATATAGCAAGGGCATGTTAGAAACTTAACTTCTCTACTATCTTCCAAAATAAAATACCTCTAGAAATAGAAAAATGATATAGTATATTAAGTTTATGTACAATTGAGAGAAAAGGACAGTGTGTGTGTGTGTGTGTGTGTGTGTGTGTGTGTGTGTGTGTTACCTATTTGGAATCTCCAAAAAATAAATGTCTAAGTTGATTTTCTGAATAGTTAAATACTTCTTAAAAAGTTATTTTAAGCATTTAAAATTGATTCTGAGTCTTTTTTTTTTTTTTAATATATTTTATTGATTTTTTCAGAAAGGAAGGGAGAGAGCTAGAGAGCTAGAAACGTCGATGAGAGAGAAACACCGACCAGCTGCCTCTTGCACACCCCCTATCGGGGATGTGTCCGCAACCAACGTACATGCCCCTAACCGGAATCGAACCCGGGACCTTTCAGTCCGCAGACCGACGCTCTACCACTGAGCCAAACCGGTTTCGGCTGATTCTGAGTCTTTTAAAAACACTCTTCCCTGACTCCTTAAAGCATGTAACATAATTTTATCTTTAGGATCATAATTATGAACATTAATTATTATGGTACTTTTCCTAAACATATAAAATGCTTTTTGCAACCAGTGAGGATTATAGAGCCATTTGCTATGGCATGAATAAAGTGGTTCTAAAATTAAAAAATATATATATTTTTTAATTGATTTCAGAGAGTAAGAGAGAGAGAGAGAAACATCAATGATGAAAGAAAATTATTGATTGGCTACCTCCTGCACACCCCTCACTGGAAATCGAGCCCGTAATTCGGGCATGTGCCCTGACCAGGAATTGAACCATGATCTCTTGGTTCATAGGTTGATACCCACTGAGCCATGCCAGCTGGGTCCTAAAATGTTCTTTTTTTTTTTTTCATTGTGTCACTTGTGAGCTTTCAGTTTGATTACCTGTTACATTCCCTTCTCTCTAGAAAACCTGCCATAAAATGAGCTGTTTTAATTTAAAAAATTTTTTTTATTGATTTTTAAGGAGAGAAGAAGGGAGGAGAAAGAGAAACATTGATGTGAGAGCAGAAACTCTATCAGCTGTCTCCTGCATGCTCCCTACGTGGGCCTATGACTGACTGGGAATTGAATCTGCAACTTTTTAGTGCATGGGATGACACCCAACCAACTGAGCTACACCATCCAGGCCAAAATGTGCTTTTTTTAAAAAACAGACTGTGGTTTTAGAAACTAGACAGCCATGTTTGTTAAAATTGTATTTAAGCCCTGGCTGGTATGTATGGCTCAATAGTTGCATGTTTGCCTGTGCACTGAAGGGTCTTGGGTTTGATTCCAGCTCAAGGGTAAGTACCTGGTTGCAGGTTCGGTCCCAGGCCTCTGTTGGGGCACATGGGAAGACAGCTGGTCGGTTTCTCGCTCTGTTTCTTTCTCTGCCTCCCTCACTTCCTCTCTTCCACTTTCTGTAAAAATCAATGGAAAAAATATCCTCAGGTGAGAATTAACAAAAACAAATCTGTATTTAGAAATAACTGCAGCCTTGGCCAGGTAGCTCAGTTGTTTGAGCATCAACCCCATATGCCAAAGTTGTGGGTTTGATCCCCAATCAGGGCACATATAAGAATTAACCAATGGCCTAAACCGGTTTGGCTCAGTGGTGGAGCGTCGGTCTGCGGACTGAACGGTCCCAGGTTCGGTTCCGGTCAAGGGCATGTACATTGGTTGCAGGCACATCCCCGGTAGGGGGTGTGCAAGAGGCAGCTGATCGATGTTTCTCTCTCATCGATGTTTCTAGCTCTCTATCTCTCTCCCTTCCTCTCTGTAAAAAAATCAATAAAATATATATATATAAATTAACCAATGAATGCATAAATAGTGAAACAACAGTCAGTTTTTCTCAAATCAATTAAAATAGGTAGATAAATAAAATTGCAAATTGGCTTTGAATGAAGCAGGATGGCATGTCATTCTCTATTTCCAATCTAGTTTTTCCTTTTGAAATAGGAAAGTAAGAATTATACAATAGTAAGTAGTGAAGATTATCATGTCATAAAACAAGGTTCACCCAAGATAATAAAATTCTCAAATGAGAAGTATTGTGACTACATTATCATGATTTTTTATAATTAAAGTGAATTTAAAATTTTAAATTTACAAATGGATGTTTTATTTCCATGTGAAAAATTACTTGATGCCGAGACCAGTTTGGCTCATGGATAGAGCGTTGGCTTGGGGACTGAAGGGTCCCCGGTTTGATTCCGGTCAAGGGCATGTACCTTGGTTGTGGGCATATCCCCAGTAGGGGGTGTGCAAGAGGCAGCTGATCGATGACTCTCTCATCGATGTTTCTAACTCTCTATCCCTCTACCTTCCTCTCTGTACAAAATCAATAAAATATATTAAAAAAAAAAATAAAAGATACAATAATCCTTAAAAAAAGAAAAAAAAGAAAAATTACTTGAAGATAAAACTATTGTTGATAGCAGTGTCTTCCTTGCTCTGATTATCAATAAGCATTTTAAGTCTTATTTTCTATTTATAACATATGACTTTAAAAATTTCCTATATAGATATAAGTACCTGAAATTTTTTTTACTATATGTCACTTTGACATACAGCTGTTAAGAGCATTTGAACTTTTAAAACTTGTCTAGTAGTTGTGATTTTGAATGAGAACAATTGCATTTTAAGACCTCTCACATTAAATTTTTAAAATTTTTTTATTGATTTTAGAGAAAGGAAGGGGAAGAGAAAGAAAGATTGATTTGTTGTTCCATTTTCTTATGCATTCATCGATTGTTCCTTGTATGTGCAGGGGTAGTAACCTTGGTAATAGAATTACAACAACATTGGTGCAACAGGAAGATGCTCTAGCCAACTGAGCCACCCTGCCAGGGTCAAGACCTCTTGTATTTTTGAATGGGCTTTATACATATGTAAAAATGGCTTTAAAAAAAAAATGGCTTTATTTGGAGGTAACCATAATTAACATGATATCACAGACATAATTTCTATTGATCTAAGCTTGTGAAGAAATTTGTGTTAGGTAAGATTGGGTGAGGTGTTTAAGTAATGTTTAACAATGATTTCTCTTTCAGACTTGTTAATAAACACGTCCAGGGCACAGGCAGTTGAAGATGTTAATACGGGTGAGGATCAAAACAAGAAGTCAGATGAACTTAATGAAGACATTCTAGATAATCCACATAATGATGCTGTTGCCAATACTGTAAATGAAGAGGAGGAATTAAAAATAGAGAAAACAACTGGACCAATCCTTTTAAATGTATAGTATTAACTTTATGCTTCATTCTGAAAAGCTATTGAGATTGAATAGGCCTCAACTAAGAGGAAATTAATTTGGTATCCTCAAAGTTTGAGATTACTACATATTTTGTCTACTCTGAGTGAAATCCTTATGTAGTAAAACCTTTACAGATTCCTGTTTAAAATCTGGTATTTATAATTATACTTGCTTCTTATTAACTTTAGTTAAGTCTGTTTATTTTCTTTAGTGTTGTACAGTAGGTCCTCGGGTTACGCTGGAGATCCATTCTTACAGCGCAGCGTAATGCGATTTTCGCTGTAAGTTGGAACCACCTACATAGGCATCTTCATTACTCACATGGAGCACATACATAGCAGTAATGAAGTGAAACAGTAAAAATAATTTAAAAAAACAATTCCTGACCTTTACTTGTGGTAAATAAATAATAAAAAACATAAGCACATACGTACATATGTCAAAATGATGGAACTTTTTTTTTTAATAAATAAATGGGAGATGGCGACTTAAATGACATGACATAACCTGAGAACTGCCTGTATATAGATACGATTTCATAACAATGACTGATAGTTAATAAGCATCTTCTGCCAGGGTGCCATTCTATGCCTTGTTTTCACTAAATTAGGTGGAGTTTTAAGATGTAAATATATGTGAATATTAATGTACATTTAAATAAAAAATCTTATTAACTATAGATGCTTTATAAAAATTTCTTTAAGAAAAAAAGCTTTTTGTTGAGAGTATTACAGATATCCCTCTTTTCCTCCCATTGCCTCCCTCCAACATGCACAGGCCTTTACCACCCTATTGTCTGTGTCCATGGGTAAGGTATAAATGCATATAAGATCTTTGGTTATCTCTTCCTGCCCCTCCACCTCCCACTGAGATTTGTCTGTTTTATTCATCAGTTTATTTTGTTCATTAGAATCCTTGTTTGTTTGATTTTTAGATATAATGGTTGACAGATATGTATTTATTGCCATTTTATGCTTCTCTTGTTCCTCCTCCTCTACCCTTCTCTTTTTTTCCTCTTCCTTCTCCTTTTTACCTTCCTCTTCCTCCTCCTCTTTCTCTTTCTCCTCCTCTTGTTGAGAAATCAGCCGTCAGTCAAATGGGAGTTCCCTTGTAGGAACTAACTGCTTTTCTTTTGCTGCTTTTAAGATTCTCTCTTTGTCTTTAACCTTTGCCATTTTAATTATGATGTGACTTGGTGTGGGCCTCTTGTCTGGACTCTCTGCCCTTCTTGGACTTATAAATATATTTCTTTCACCAGGTAGGGAAAGTTTTTAGTCATTACTGCTTCAAATAAGTTTCAATAACTTGCTCTCTTCTCCTTTTGGCACTCTCATAATGTTATTGTTGGTATGTTTGAAGTTGTCCCAGAGGCTCCTTCCACTGTCTTCATATTTTTGGATTTTGTTTTTCTTTTTGCACTTCTGACTGGGTGTTTTGGTTTCTCATATTCCAAATCGTTGATTTGATTCTTGGTATCCTCTACTCTGCTGTTCATTCCCTGTAAATTATTTTTCATTTCAATTAGTGTATCCTTCATTTCTGACTTGTCCTTTTTCATATCTTTGAAATTCTAAGATCCTGAACATCTCACTAAGTCCCTTGAAGCTTTCATTAAGATCCTTGAGCAACATTGTAATCATTGTTTTGAACTCTGTATCCTGTAGTTTGCTTGCTGTAATTTCATTTAGTTCTTTTTCTGGAGATTTCTTCTGTTGTTTCATTTGTGTCATGTTTTTTTGACTCCACATTTTGGCTGCTCCCCTGTGTTGTTTCTATGTATTAGGTAGAGCTGCTAATTGGTAAAGTGGCCTTTTGTAGTAGGTGTCCTGGAGGGCCCAGTGACTTAGCCTCCCCAGCACATAAACTGGACACTTAAGTTCCCCCCAGTGTAGGCTGTGTAAACAGTCTTATTATAGTTGAACCTTGATTGCTGTTGGCATCACTGGGAGGAATTGACCTCTTTTGGCTGTGAGGGCCAGCTGTGGCTACAGTGGAAGAGCTGCTGTGCAGGAGGCACTCCTGTCTTCCCCATACCCCTGGCCAAGCTGCTGCCCCAGTGCTACAGCTCAGAGGAAGTGAGTCTGAGCACTGGCCCTTTATGAGATAAACTATCTGGGTCTCCAGCAGCCTTCATATCACTAAGCCTATCCCTGCTGGTTTTTATAGCCCAAACAAGAGGCCTGATGCACGGATAGATCCCTAAGTCTGGCTGGTGATCAGGGCTGATCTGTGGGGTCACGGGTGGAGCAATTGGGTGGCCCCTGCTGGCACCCGCCTTGGCTGGTCTGGGGCCTGCAGGCTGGAGCAGCTCCTGTGTTGAGTATCTGTCCCCTGGTGGTCAGTATGTGACCAGTTGTTCCACTTATCGTTCTGCTGTTCCGATTTGCATATTAGGCTTTTATTATACAGGATTCCCAGTTCTGGATCCCTGGGGCTCATTGCTTCTCTTGGGAGGCTTCTACAACTGAGATATCCCTCTCGATGAAAAAAATGCCAGATTGGGTGTCTGAACAGCCTATTACATGCCTCCGTCCCTCCCACCAGTCTCAATTCTTTATTTGTAAGAATTCTATCCAGCCAGGTTCCAGGCAGTTCTGAAGGACGGTTGCTCTGTATTTTAGATGTGGTTGTGGGAGGCTGTAATGTCATTTACCTATGCCACCATCTTGGTTCTATAAGTTTCTTTTTTAAAAAATTATATTTTTTTAATTGATTTTTAACAGAGAGCAAGGGAGATAGTTAGAAACATCGATGAGAGAGAAACATCAATCAGCCTCCTGCACACCCCCCACTGGGGAAGTGCCCGCAACCAAAGGACACCTGTCTGCAGGCTGACACTCTATCCATTGAGCCAAATCAGTTTTGGCTATAAAAATTTCTTATTGCTATTTAGTTCAGCCATTTTCACTTTTGGTAAAATGTTTAAGGTTTTTATATGTGTTTACATGTATTTTGAGAAATGACTTTAATATTTAAAGGGTCACATGAAAGGTTGATATAGTGCCTGGCCTGCCTAGGAGCTAGGAAGGTTCAAATGCTCCTTGGTACCTACTGACCAGTTGGAGGGAAATTTGAAAAGTATTATGAGAATATGGCAGATTCACAGGAGACCTTTGAGTTAGAGATTCCAAGGATTGGGGATTTTTTTTTTTTTTTTTCACCTCCCCACCCAGATTGGGGATTTTAGAGGGGTAATTATAGATAAGGAAGCACTACATTGACCACTAAGTTTAAAGAAAGTCTCTCTAGTTCTTGGAGGAGATTCCCATTGGGGAAAGGGGAAGTCAAAGCTAGTTTTTACAAACTAGGAGATGGGAAAGTTGCTTCACATGAGAAAGACCGACAGAGGGATGGTTCTGAATTGGTTTCCATCCATGAAGCTGGGCAGCTTGCTCTCTTCAGGCTTGCTGATTCAGGTGGGATGAAGGGTGACAAGGATGGTTTGGTTGAAAGGTCAGGAAGTTCAGTATAAAAATAGAGAGATATGGGGGCTAGGGAGGCTGGGGGCCATTATAGTAAGGGACCAGGAGGCAGAAGCTTTGAGGATTATTACTTGTTGCTGTCAGTAGGGTGACCAACTAGAAAATGGAGCCCAGTCTCTTTAGATCTAACCAATGGCTAGAGAAACTGCTTTCTCAGGATGGCCTGTTCTGGCTCTTCACCCTCACCAGCTGGATTAGAGAAGATGACAAAGGGAAAGGCAATTACTTTTCCAGTGGTGGGATTTGCTGGCAAAGTGACAAATCTCCAAGAGCAAGACCAATGAAACTTATTAAAAATGAGGGTGGAAAGGGAGGTTTGAGAGAACAGAGCTTACCTGAGCACCCCACTCTACTCCTATGCCCTATCACCAACTGGTGCTGGGGATAGTAGGGGAGGTTAGAGTCAAATATGAAATAATTTAAAAGGGATAGGTGGACAGGACCAAATCTCACTATCTGAAAGTGACTGAAAAGTTAATCTGACAGATGTCAGACGGGCCTATAACTTAAATGGCCCATTATCGCCATTAGTGGAAAGAACTGATTTGAAAGAACTGTTTTTAGGCAAGCTAACCAAATATTAATTCTGGGTTTATTAAAAAACTGGCAACCTGATTTGGAGAGCCAACATTCACTATTAATTTCTGAAAAATCAGTTTCCATAGTGACCTAATTGTACTTTATTTAATGCAACTTTAATGATGAGAAAACATTTTACACATACAGTAGTCCCACTTAGCTCCAGGGGATATGTTCCACGACCTCCAGTAGGTGTGAGACTGGATGGTACCAAATCCTATCTATACCATATTTTCTCCTATATACAAATATCTATGATAAAGTTTAATTTACAAATTAGAAAGTAAGAAATTAACACCAATAATAAAAAAATAGAATTATAACATGCTGGAATAAAAGTTATGTGAATGTGGTCTCTTAGCAAACTAGCATGAATTTCCTTTTCACAATTTCACGGACAAAAGATTCATTCTTACTGTAGATCTTAGCAACCTTAGCATATAATTTTTTTTTTTTTTCCTTACTGAGAACTGTCACCTTTTCACTTAAGGAAGCACTTCATTGCTTGTCTGTGGCACATTTGAATTACCAGCATCACTTTGTGCTTTTGTGCAGAGGGTCTTGCCCAGCATTTAGAAGGGCTCAGGAATCTGGAGAAGGAACTGCTATAAATTATTAGAGTCTAGAGACAAAAGATAATTTTGGAAGGCATTTTGGGAAGCCAGAGTTGTTTAGCTATAGTAACCAAGTTCTCTGTCTCTCTAGACCCCTTGCTTTTTAGTAACACAAACTGTCCTAAGGCAAGGTAGATAATATCAAAGGCAAGGTTTAGTATACAGAATCCATTGTCAGATTGGGGGAACTGCCTATAGCTGTTCAGGTGTTTGGCCAGTAGGAGGCAATAACTTGTAGATTAAAATGCCCTCACCTGGCCGAAACCCGGTTTGGCTCAGTGGATAGAGCGTTGGGCCTGCAGACTGAAAGGTCCCAGGTTTGATTCTTGGTTGCGGGCACATCCTCGGTGGGTGGTGTGCAGGAGGCAGCTGATCGATGTCTCTTTCATTGATGTTTCTAACTCTCTATCCCTCTCCCACCCTCTCTGTAAAAAATAGAATATATTAAAAAAAAAATGCCCTCAACTGTCTGGCAGCAAGCAATCATTTTTGCAAATCTTTAGGTAT